AATCATGATGTGAATCTTATTTACATTATATACTCTTATTCTGAATATTATCTATATTACTATGTGATGCACACACAAGTATAGATTATTTTGCAAAAACTAGAACATTTAATTTCATGTTTTTTTTTTTAAAAGAGTTTGGAATGTGCCACTTGAAAAAGTGGGCTCAAATGTACATTAATCAAATTATCCCAAGTCAAGCAACTAACCCTCATCCATAGACATTCAGACAGTTTATATCAGATAAATACTTAGCCTCATGGTGAACATGTTTTAACATGGTAAAATTAACATACAATGCAATATGTTAAAGCGTGTAAAAGCTCACCTAGTACTCTAAGCCAAAATAAACAAAAGAATTAGAAAGAAATGCATGATCCTAACTAATACAATATGACTATTGTAACGAATTCGATATGCAATTACTAGGCTCAGTTACTAACATGGAATATGAATCAATTTGATAGCATGCGGTCTAAGCATGTATTCAAAGATGCATTTAACTAACGATGCAAGTTAGAATGATGAACCAAGCCTCAATACATGCAATAGAAATGGATGCAAGGCATGAGAGATGCTAAATGAAACATGATGCTTCTAAACTAACCATCATAAGCAGGGAAATAAAAAGAGAGAAAAATGTGGGATTGGAAGACATACACTTTCTTACGACATTTGCGCCCTCATGCAGGAGGATCCGAATCAACTAACTAGGCTAATTGCTACAAATTACAAACTGAATGAAATAATCAACTAAACTAGCTAATTAAATATTACAACAAATTAACTAACTAATTGAACTAATTAAATTAATTACAAATCAAAACGAACTAATTAATTACATGAATACAACATGAAAGAAGTGCTAAGCTAGCTATTCTAATTACTCCGCCTTGGGAAACAAGGAATGCTCATGCATGCACGGATTTCCACCAAGAAAAGGCCATTGTTCTGTTGCAAGATGCCTCTGTAGCACAGTAAAACATTTTCAATGTTTTTCACCTCAGAATCAGCTCTGTTTTTCTAAAAAAGTACACTGCTTGATTTTGCAAAGGTGGACGGCAGGCTAGAAATGGTGGCCTACTGGCCATTGATGCATGGTTTTTCCTGCTGCAACAGAGAGCAAACAGAGCAAGCACAAGGTATTCTCAAGGGTTGTTTGCACAACTTACCCTTCCTATCATCAAACAGCTTAAAGGAGTAGTAAATTTGATTCACAAACCATCAATCAATGCAATTTTATTGGATGCTGTCCTATGAACCAAAGGGTGCAAATTCAATAAGTGCAACGAATGTAAGACTCTCAAACCTCCTCCCTATCATGAATGATCAAGGGAAATGGTTGACAATAACTCTTGAACCAGTTTCATCACCAATAAGTATGAAACGACTCAAGACTCAAGGGTTCAATTAATGTCCAATTCAACCCAAACCAAGTTATTATATTGTCTAATTTTAGTCCAAGTTTTAGTATTCCATTTTAATTACCTTTCCATTCTTTAATTCATTAAGTCCAAAGTGAGCTTTAAGTCCTCTAACGAAAAGAAGTATCAAACCAAGAGTTGTTTTAGGCAAGAGAGAAGTGTCATGCCATTGGTAATGAACCCCCAAAGGGATTAAACCATTAAGCATAAGGCCTCAATCTCACGCTTTAAACAAGCAACTAGTTTGAACCAACTTTCAAAGCAAAGCAAAAGCTGAGAAAGGAAGGAGGTTACAGAGATGATTAGAGGTGAAAACAAGTATGGAAACCCGTAAACAAGTGCTATTAACTCAAATAGGATGGTGGCTAAGGCCTAAACACCAAACCTATGAGGACAATTACACTACAAGCATGCAATATAAGGCTCGAATGCAATAAACAACCCAAAATAGTCCTATAACAGTGCTAAATAAGTCCTAAAATATGCTGGAATTAATACAAAAAAAGCTAGAATAGTAAGCTAAAACATGGTGCAATGTAAGCTAGTAAACAAGACAAAAAGAGGGGAGGCTAACGCCTCCAATTTTGAACTTCAAAACATGTTTTTAGCCACTGAAATAACTCTCGAATTCAGTATTTAAAAGATGAAAAAGAGATATTGTAAAGATGGGAAACACAAGGGTAAAGGCTACAGTAGAAAGGTGGAAAGAAAGGTGAACCACCTCTCCACCCTTTAAGGCCTTAAATCACAAGTTTCAACCCAAAACTACAGAGTTTTTACATCCCAAAAAATAGTAGAAAAACAGCAGGGAAAAAAGTAACCAAAGCAATGAAACAAGCTAGGCCTTATATCTCTTGAAGAGAAGAACACTTCTAAGAAATAATTCAACACATACACACCTTCAAGAGCTCAAGTTAAGCTCAAAAGTACCTTAGCTTAGAGATGGCAAGGTTTGGTTAAGAGTGTATAGGCAAAAGCTCAAAAAATTTCAAGAGAGAGAGAGAATTGTAGAGAGAAAAAATTAATTTTGCTCTAATTTTTCTAACCCTCAAAAATAGAAGGGGAGGTCCTATATTTATAGAAAAACAGGGCACTCCCTCTGAAACATTCATCTATACACGTGGGAGCAGATGCGAGCATCTGTGTAAACAGCTGGCGCAGCTGGCAAAAAATATCTGCAAAACACACTTGTGCCCGGCAGGCCACACACTTGGCCGACAAGGCACAAGGGTGGCAGGCATCCAAAATAGATGGCCGGCAACCTACAAAAATGGGCCTACAAGTCCCAAGTTTTTCAGGTTTGAAAGGCTGGGGTTTTGGTGCAAAAACAAGGCACAAGTTTTGCAGGGTTTTGAGGCTCAGAGCTGTGGCATTCCGCGGAAGACTTTGGAGCACTTGACAAGCATATACATTCATCATTGGGTGTGCAAGTGATGGTGCCCAAGTCATAAGGGCGATAAAAAATGGGGTGTCTACACATGGCTATGTTATCCTCTTGAACGGTATGAGTTATAGGGTTAATTGCACTAATGGTCACCAAAGTAGGCTGTTTGGTACACTTTAGCCCCCAATCTCTTAATTGTCCCACTTTAGTTCCCAAAGTTTGTGACCTATTACACTTTAATCCCTATCATCAATGTCGTTCAAAATCAATAACAGGAGAATAGGTATTTTTGAAATTTTACAAGAATCCTCTACAAAATCAAAATGACAAAATACTAGAAATTTTTCTAATGTTTAAATTAAAACCAACTTGAGTTGTAGATAGACTACAATTTCAAACTGTGTTAACATTTCACCAACTAGAAGATAAATCTAGAACATTTTATTCGTGTCTTAGATGATGTATTTCCTTTTATAAATTTGTATTTCAAAATTTATCAAAAGTTTCCTTTCATTGGATGGATCAATCATAAAGGCATTCGTTATACCTATACTTTATATTTCTATAATGTCTCTCTCTCTCTCTCTCTCTCTCTCTCTCCTAAGCAAAATCCTAACTTTCTCACTCTTACAACAGGACCTATTATTGTTTTTTTGGGCATTCTTTTCTTTCTCTCAAGTCTCGTCATCAATCTTGTCTAGGTAAATCACAAGTTTTGAAATCAATGCATCTGTCTCTGTAAATAAGTTTTGCCCAGTTTTTTATTTGTGTTTCTTATGTTTGTTGCGGTTTTTGACAAAATTTCTGTGAGTTTTAAATTCAATGCGATACTACTTGATTGAGTTGCAACAGAAAGTATTAGCTTGTTTTGGTAATAAGAAAGATTGTTCTGTGATTTTCAAATGTGCATGTGGATGGTTTAATCTCCAAACACCTTAACTACAGAACACCTTAACCCGTATGCACCACCACTAGTTCAAGTGGTACTTCTTGTTGCCCCTTATTTTTTGCTTAATTACTAATAAAAGACATAAGCTCAGTAATGGGGATTACTTAGAGCAGAGCACAAAGTCCAATTTGATTCAATGGAGAGATAAACTAGTGACACTTTCATTATGCAAGCATCGCATTGAAAATAATGAATATCATGAGATTTGGCCAGTGGTCCTTAGTCTAATCATATGTGGGGTGATATATATGGTTTACAGGTATACATTGGAAACACAGTTTACTAGTTTCATCCCCTTTTATGATTGTTATACTCTCTTCCTAGGCATTACATGTTAATTAATCCACTATTTGATCTAATATTTTGATCGATATATTAATTGTTTTTCAATTTTGATGCTTGGAGGTTCTTCATTAATTTCTTAAACCCCACCCCCCACCCTGCCTTATTTTATTTTATTTTTATTATTATTTGGTTGTTGGAGGGATGGGACTGGTGCTCTCTGTAATCACGTAACTCTTCATTCTTTGCTTTTCAGATATTTTGAATTTGACGCATTGAATGGAATTTAATAACTTATATATGTATATACATTGTGGCATTCGATCTGGTATTCCTAAGTGATCTCCTTCATGACAGGCTGGTTAGAGTTGTTCATGGGAAGGGAGCAAACATCATTTTCATTCAGGTAATTGCTCTTAATAATCGGATGTGTAGCTCTCTTGAAACTATCTTGCTTGTTGTTCTCGAAGAAATATTTCTTCCACACTTAAAATGTTTGTGCCCAATTTATCTCTATGCTATATAATACCTTAACATTATTTCTTTATATGAAGATGTAATACTTTTGAACTTGTTTAATCTTCACACCTAAAAAGCCTTGTTCCTTTTGCAAATGTTGAATGATATGAATTTGAGAGTAATCAATGTATATTTGTGCAATTGAAGACCTTGATATCATTTTTCTTCAGTTCTAATAAGTTTAGAAATAAGTCTTACTATTTAATCTTTTGGCTGACGACGAAGGCATAGCATGGTGTTGCGACTTACTAGTGTCCTTTCTTCCTTATGTTTTGTAGTATAGTTTTTGTTCTAACTTTTATCAATAGTCTACTCTTCAACATTCAATATTGTCTTTGTTTCCTTGGTGAGGAGCTGATAGATGAAGTGAGGGAAACTTCTATAAAATGGCACTCTATCATATGTTCTCACTACAAGAAAATTAGTTTATAACCATGCTTTTGTTATGGCGTTTTTTCAAAAAACGTCGTTTTAAAGGTTTTCAAAATATTTTTGTAAATAACTCATTTTAAAAAACACGCGTGTTTTGGTGTACGAACATATTTTTCCTTTTAAGACCCACGCGTTTTTCATTCTTCTATTCTATTTCACGCAGCAATTGATAGATCTAGGTTTTCTATCTCTTCATCACTCCTCTTTCTTATGTTGAAAGGTCACTAGATCGAGCTTCGTAGGCTCCGATTCACGATCTGGTTCTCTCCATCTTGGCTCAAAGCTCTCGATCAGTCCGGTTTGAAGATTAATTTTGTGAGTCCTCTGATTTTTTGATTTTGTCTATATACAAACTTAGATCTACGATCTCAAATCTGTTTGATATATATATATATATACTAATTTATGTCTATTGATCGCGATCGATTTTTATTCTATTGATCGATTTTTAGGCAAATCTCAATTGATTGATTTTTAATTTATTGATCGCGATCGAACACTCTTCTCTGGATTTGATCGATTGATTGCTTTCGTTCAGACCTGTAAGTTTGAGTCCCTATGCGCATATTAACATCCTCAAACCGACTCTATTTCTGACTCGTTCATGGTGATCTTTGCGTTTGTGCTTTGTATGCAATTCTAGGGTTAGTCTATTGAGGCTAATCTCTATTACGTTTGTGTACAGAGTCACAGAACCACCATCACAACCATACTGTGTCAATCTTTGCAGCGATGTCAATCTTTGCGTTTGTGCTTGAACAAGTTTGGCTAGAACAGGTTTGTCATTGATTTATTGATTGAAAAGGAATTACATAATAAAATAGTTGATCTAGAACCTGGTTTGTCATTGTTCTTTTTCTTTAATTTAATTTATGGGTAAATTATGCATACCACCTGTTTGCTAATATGCCTTTGTAAAATAGGAAACATAAAATCTGTCAGTTTCTGGTTGAATGTGAATTGTACATGTGTTAATTTCAGAACTGTGTTGCGTATAGTCACAATTGAGGCAAGGTTTTGGAGGCAGTTTCAATTTCAAGACTGCTATGTAGTTCCAAATCCCCCACTCCTTTAGGTAAAATTCTCCTTGTTCAAACACATGTCTTTCTTTTATGTCATTTTTGTTACTAAATTCAACACTGTTAATAGATAGTTTCAGTATTTCACAGACAAGGTAAATGGTGATTGTCTGACTTATTTTTTGTACTGAAGTAAATATTTTATCTGCAAACAAAAATGTGTTATAACTCAAAACTGTCTGTTTCAGTTTCTTGGAGGAAATCATCCTTGGGAGTGGTCAAAACTTTGTATTAGAGGTATTTATTTTAATCGTGTTAGAACTTTGTATGACTTATTGCATGAATGTTTTCAATACACGCGAGTATGATATGTCAAATAAATTATAAGGATGGGTTTTCTTTTGCTGAAGTGATCAAGAATATATATATATTTCATTATTTGTGCATAAAGCAAATCCAATTATGGTCTTCTCCTAAGCTGAGTTATCAAAAGCTGCATGTTTACCAAATTCTGTTATTGGCTAATGATATTTTTCTTGCAGTGCTAGTTAACAATATTTTTACTTGAACTAGCCACTTGTTCTGTGCTCCTATTTTAGTAAACTAGTAGAATTTAACCATGTACAATCACATAATGACTAGTTTTCATATGGTATCTCCACTGCTTTGGCAATTAAGATTTCATTATAAAGCTGCCTTTAGTCTATACTTACATTTTTTAATGTGTTTTTTTGAACAGGTTAAGAATCATTGATTAGAGGAAACGAAAACCTGTTGAGAAATGTTAACAATCCTTTCTACTTTTGTTTTGATGTTTCAAAGATATGTTGTTGCTGAGGACACTTAAGTTTAACTGAAGTTTAATATCTTCCAATGTAATAGTTTTTATTTATTATTTTTTTATAATACTGGAAACTGGTTATTAGACCATGGTATTTATCATTAATGTGCATATCCTTGCTGGAGCTTTTTCATATTGGTAATTTCTGTAGGGTTGTAACCCTTTAGGCATTCGAGGTTGAAGTTGGTAGTAATGATAAAGTGTTCCTGTTAAAGTTTGTGAATTACTAGATGCTGTTTCTGCGTATGGTATGATCAATTTTATATAAGATCACAACTTATCATTGAATAGGATTGAAGGTTGGTGTAGTTAACAATAAAGTGTTCCTATTAAGGTTTGTGAACAACTAGATGTTGTTTCTGCCTATGGCAGAGCCAAGATTTGAACACCTCATTCTTATATTAGCTGTGATAACAAATGTGGAATGGGAGCATGTAGATATCTTTGAAAATGAGGGTGATGGGTGATTCCAGTATTGAAAGCAAAATATGCTATATAAAAGTGTAATTAATTCATGGAACTGTCTAAAAGTGTTATTGTATGTTAACATGAATTATTACTCTCTTATCAATAACCACATTTTGATGGATCCTTTTGATATGCTATCTGTTGGCTCGTAAAGACCTACCATCCACTACACGGCTGCTCTATGTACAAAGCTAGAGAAGTCGGTAGTCTTTATTACCTATTAGTTACTCATTAGTGAACTTTCTTCCGAATTTTTATCCCGTGCTTGCTCCTTATTGTTTTTATCTAACAATTAATTCATCCATATTAAACTGTGATAGAGGACATCACTTATATGTGTTCCTTGAAAATTTGGAATTCAGGTCATTATCTTCTAGCTAATGCTTTCATAGTTTAACCATGTTCTGCAAGTTAGTTAATTGATTTTGATAGGGACATGTGGGGCTACATATCTTTAGGTTACTTCAAGCAGGTGAACTTTCTGATATATTTGTGAATATGTTGCCACTGGTTTTCCTCTGCTAGAACTTATGTTTTTTCAAGTTCAAATGTCAAGCCGATAACTAAGGCTGGTGAGATTGGGTCCTCGACTATGCCTCAAAGTAAATCCCATTGATTTTGAAAATAGTGAGGGCAATCTTGGGAAGGCTAATGGAGGTCTATCTCATTTAAGCATAAAATTACTTATTTCTCGTTGGCAGGTAGAACTCTCTCTCTCTCTCTCTCTCTCTCTCTCTCTCTGTGTGTGTGTGCAAAGATATATGAAAGCTCCATTTTTAGTGAACATTGATTGGTAGTTTTTAGGCACCGAAAGTGCAGAATGTAAGATTATGTCACTGGGCAATTATGATTTCCTTACCATATTGCAGATCCAAGTCTGTATATGCCAAGCCCAGTAAAAGGAAGGATTTTGCTAGTTGTTAATAGTTTTGGTCATCTAATTTTAGTGGTGATAGAGTGAGACATGCTAGAAAGCATACTCAGCCAAATATAGTTTTTTTTTAATATTATATATTTTATAAAATTTAAAAGCATACTCAGCCAAAGGGATTTGTTTGGGCACAAATAAAACTGCTGCCTATAGGCAAATGTTACAGGTACTTTTCTCTGTGGACTAGGTAAATGTTACAGTTACTTTTCATGGGTTGGAATTAGGTGCATGCATGTTATTTTGTAGATAGTAAAAGTAAATGGTGATTTTTGCAGGGCTTAATAAAAGTAAATGGTGATTGGCTAATAAAAGAATGCTGATTAAAGTTTGAAGGATATTTTGTGGGGCTTTTTCACTCCTGTCCAAGCCATAGAAGAGACTACCATGTTTTTTCACTCCTGTTCATGAACTTCTTTAATTAGCTCATTGCTGAGGTCTTGAAAGTATATAACTCAATGATTTTTTCCTTGTGCTGATTACAGGACAACTTGCTCGGGAAGTTTACGAGAACATTAGGAGAGGCTTCTTGTCTGAGAATTCAGAGAGATTTTTGTATGCATCTTGCTAGGAAAGCTTATAAAGAATTGTGCTCCTCTGCTGTTTCTATTCAGGCTGGCATGCGTGGAATTGTTGCACGTGATGAGCATCGCTTCAGAAGGCAGATTGGTTTTTATGGAAAGTTTCCATTGCTGTATTCTCTTAGACTACTTGACTACATGAATTGTGGATTTGGATGTATTAGTAGGAACTCCAACAATTTCTTTTTACACTAGCTTCTATTCAACTTAATTCTTTAAAATTACCATACTATAAGCATTTATAATAATGTTTTTCTTTTGCAGAGTAGTTTGAAAACTGTCTCAGAATCTCTGAATACTTCTTGATGGGTTTAAAATTAGCATAATTTCAAAAAAAAAAAATGAAAAAGAATATCACGGCGTTTTTCAAAACGCCGCTTAAACCCTAAATCTAACGGTCATATGTTTTTAAAAAGATACGATGGCGTTTTAAAAACGTCGCTAAATATCACAGTGACGTCATGGTCTCTCTCTCTCTCTCTCTCTCTCTCTCCTAAGCAAAATCCTAACTTTCTCACTCTTACAACAGGACCTATTATTGTTTTTTTGGGCATTCTTTTCTTTCTCTCAAGTCTCGTCATCAATCTTATCTAGGTAAATCACAAGTTTTGAAATCAATGCATCTATCTCTGTAAATAAGTTTTGCTCATTTTTTTATTTGTGTTTCTTATGTTTATTGCGGTTTTTCACAAAATTTCTGTGATTTTGAAATTCAATGCGATACTACTTGATTGAGTTGCAACAGAAAGTATTAGCTTGTTCTTGTAATAAGAAAGATTGTTCTGTGATTTTGAAATGTGCATGTGGATGGTTTAATCTCCAAACACCTTAACTACAGAACACCTTAACCCGTATGCACCACCACCAGTTCAAGTGGTACTTCTTGTTGCCCCTTATTTTTTGCTTAATTACTAATAAAAGACATAAGCTCAGTAATGGGGATTACTTAGAGCAGAACATAAAGTCCAATTTGATTCAATGGAGAGATAAACTAGTGACACTTTTCATTGTGCAAGCATCGCATTGAAAATAATGAATATCATGAGATTTGACCAGTGGTCCTTAGTCTAATCATATGTGGGGTGATATATATGGTTTACAGGTATACATTGGAAACACAGTTTACTGGTTTCATCCCCTTTTATGATTGTTATACTCTCTCCCTAGGCATTACATGTTAATTAATCCACTATTTGATCTAATATTTTGATCGATATATTAATTGTTTTTCAATTTTGATGCTTGGAGGTTCTTCATTAATTTCTTAAACCCCACCCCCCACCCTGGCTTATTTTATTTTATTATTATTATTATTTGGTTGTTGGGGGGGATAGGACTGGTGCTCTCTATAATCACGTAACTCTTCATTCTTTGCTTTTCAAATATTTTAAATTTGATGCGTTGAATGGAATTTAATAACTTATATATGTATACACATTGTGGCATTCGATCTGGTATTCCTAAGTGATCTCCTTCATGACAGGCTGGTTAGAGTTGTTCATGTGAAGGGAGCAAACATCATTTTTATTCAGGTAATTGCTCTTGATAATCGAATGTGTAGCTCTCTTGAAACTATCTTGCTTGTTGTTCTCGAAGAAATATTTCTTCCACACTTAAAATGTTTGTGTCCAATTTATCTTTATGCTATATAATACCTTAACATTATTTCTTTATATGAAGATGTAATATTTTTGAACTTGTTTAATCTTCACGCCTAAAAAGCCTTGTTCCTTTTGCAAATGTTGAATGATTTGAATTCGAGAGTAATCAATGTATATTTGTGCAATTGAAGACCTTGATATCCTTTTTCTTCAGTTCTAATAAGTTTAGAAATAAGTCTTACTATTTAATCTTTTGGTTGATGACGAAGGCATAGCATGGTGTTGCGACTTACTAGTGTCCTTTCTTCCTTATGTTTTGTAGTATAGTTTTTGTTCTAACTTTTATCAATAGTCTACTCTTCAACATTCAATATTGTCTTTGTTTCCTTGGTGAGGAGCTGATAGATCAAATGAGGGAAACTTCTATAAAATGGCACTCTATCATATGTTCTTTATAAAATGAGATCTTAGGTATGCTAGAAAAATCATGTCTGTAAATGACCCAACTTGAAATGAAGATTTTTGTCCATGGATGATTTTTTTTCAAGGGATGGAAAATCTTCATGATGCGTTTCATGATATTTTTTTCATGACTCCTAGTATTATTCGAGTAAGAAGCCAATGCTTATGTAAAGAAACTTTAATAACATCAATTCAGCTAGAAAGAAAGAAAAAAAGTCGGGTGAAGGTTGCTAAAAAGATCTCATAATGTGCATTGAAGATCAAAAATTAAATCAGAGTGAAGGAAGCGTTGTGATTCAAGAGGTAGGTGTTATGAACAACAACCCAGCTCAGTTTGTATCATCCTTGAATTAGGACTCAGTTAAACATGTTTTGAATCATTCACTCGTCATTGACATGCTCTATCATTAATTAGCAGATTAAACTGCCAATTGCTAATAAAAAGAATGGAAGTGGCTAATTTTTTGGGAAAGTTTTTTTTTTCCAATTTTTGCTTATAGACATTAAAATATTGAATTTGTTGAAACATCAATAATGATAAAGTACGAGTTGAGGAAAATATATAAAAGCATTGTTGAATGCTCTTATCTGAGAATACAAATGGGAAAAAAAAGAAAGTTAAGACAAAGCATAAAGGTCAAAAAGAGATGGTTCCTAGGTGTTTTGAAATAGAAAAATGATCTGGACCCCCTCCAGGGGTGACCCCCACGACCCCCTCTGGTCTGTGATTGGCTAGATTTTATTTTATTTTTCTTCTCCTCCTCCAATCACCAACCCCCACGTGTGGGTGGGGGTGGTGGGGGTTGGTGATTAAGGGTGTCTTAATCACTTCTCAATACAGTAATTTTGGGAATAACAAGAAAAAAGAAAGGACATCATTGATAGGGTATAATATAGACACATATATGCTTATAAATATATACACTCACACATATATAGATACACATGTAAGATATATTCCTTCAATAGCTTGTGGGAATAATTATCTGCTAGGGTACCTAGCTTTTATTAATGAAACATTTAGTAATCAAAACTTTCAATTTTCATTTTCATTGCCTCCTAAAGAT